TCCATCTGGCGGAGTCAGGTTAGTTAAATGTCATGTTAGAGTAAATACAATAGTTATAAAATCTAGCATCTTGCCTACACTGAAAACAGCATTTTTTTTCTTCCTTTAGTCAAAAAATCCACAGAAAACAGTTCTAGTCCAAACTGTGAAGCACTTACAGATGGTTCTTTCACCTCCAGATGAGAAGAAAAGCCTCAGTCGCAGACAGGCATGACTCAAATCTGTAAACGTCATCCCTCCAGCTCCTTAGCTTGGTAGTCTCCAAAAGATAAAACTTGGTTTTGTGTAGAGGAGGAAAAAAAAAATCGAAAAGCAGCCCTTACTGCTGCTGGTTTACAGTCTATTTTCTAAATTCCACCTTTCCAGTGGTGTCATGGGAGGTGGAGGCAGATAAGGGAGGTATCAGCAGCAACAGGAGCTTAATGAAATTTCTGACTTCATCACCAGGACCAATAAAAGCAGGTACAAGCCTTTAAATGAAGGTGATCTAATAGCACGATAAGTCTGTAAGTCTTCCAATTACATTAAAGAGTGTAGATAGTGATTATGAACATGTGCGCTGTCAGCTCCACCGTCCTCCACAGTTAAAAAGATGCTCCCTATTTCCCTCTCAGAGCTTAGTTTTTAATAATCAGTATGGTAATTGTGTTTTACTGTAGCAACATAGGCAGAAAATCACATTAAAAGAAGAGAGTAAGGGAAAGACTTGTGGGGTGTATGGAAAGACACAAGGGATGAGCTGAGACTAGCTGTGCAGCTCAGAACAGAGACCCTATAGATTGTGGCTTTCAGCTAATTCTCTCCTACATCAGTTGTAAGAGCTGGAGGATGAGGGGGAGGGGCGGGGGGGTACAGTATGTCTCGCTCAGAGTAAAACCCACATGATGCATACAGATACATCTTTTTTTTTTTGCTTCTCTGGGAGTAATCATCATATCAAAGGCTGCACAGGCAGAGTAATGAAATCCAAACTTTCAAAGGTACAGATAGGAGAAATAAAAATCTACTCCTCTTATTTAATGCCAACAGTCAGCAAATGAGGTTGGGTTAAGAGGCGCTATTCGCAGCTGCTCATCCGTTAAGTTTTTTCTTTTCATCTTTTCCTAATAGCACCATCTGCCTGGTGCATGGACGTCTTAGACGGCTTCCTATTTGCATTCACTTCATTGCCTCAGCTGTGTTATTGTAGAATCCACGGTATATATTACCGCATGCATTCCTCACATTTTCTTCTGTGCTTATTCTATGCTCTTTTCTTCTGTAATTATGAATGTTGCTACGGTATCTGCTCTGCATGCCTCTGTGTGCACAAACACACACTAGCCTTCCCTCCTAATAACTTTCTACTTCCCTATTTTCTTTCCTTCTCTATGATGTGCTGTCTGGATATCAGAAATCACGCAAGGTAATGAGACAAGTCCCAGTCACACCTTTGCCCTCTTTCATTTGAGCCGCTCACCACGTCCTCTTCACACACCCCCACCCCCAATCTCTTCAGAAAAGCAATAAAAAAGAAAATTCTTCAGAGCTGCGGGCTTTGAAAGTACCACTTCTGTGTGAAAACTTTGGCATTTCATAAGCTCATACGTGCGCGGCGAAGAGGAGATGCTCTTGAAGAGCAAGGTTTGGCTTTCACCTCACTCCATCTGCTGCGGGGGTGGGAGGGGGGCGGTAAGGAAGAGAAAAAAAAGCAGGCAGTCATCCTTGAGATGGCCATTGTTTAAAGCAACAAAGAGACATTTTCATTAGTGCGGTGTGGGCATGACGGCGGTGCTGCTCGCCTGGTGAAAAAGTGAGAACGAGGAGGATGTATACCGAAGTGGATGCTGAGGTGCTAAGCCAAGCCCGCCTTGTTCTTCTCTCATCTGCTCTCACTTCTGTTGCACACAGGAACAGCTCCCCCATAGTTGCATGAAAGTGGTTCACTCTTTGACCCACTCACCTGCAAACAAAAACGCACTGGAACTTCACCCTGCATCACCATGACACACCATGCATCAAACTCCTCCATTTTCCAAATGATCAGCTGTTTTAAAAACAAACCACCACTTCTAATTCATTTCATTGAGAATCACATGAAGTCACACAAACTGTAGATCGCAGATTGAAAAAGAAGTTTGTTCAGCTATTAAAGCGCCCTATGAAACGACCAATGACTGAATGAATGACTGAAATTGATTGCAGACAATTATCAAATCATAAAAATAATAGATAAATTAATTTCTGAAAATATTGCAAACAAAAAACCTTGTCCCCCACACACACAAAATGATTGATTATGGTAAGGTTGAACATTGAAATAAATTACATTTTCAGTTCCAAATAATTTTAATAAATTTTAACCATACTCAGAAGCTAATAAAATAAAGAAAATGTTCCACTTCATAAACTTGCTAGTATATGTAGCCTGAGATCTGACACTGATTATTGATATATATGCAATATATATGTAATATATGATTATTAATTAATGTAAATTGTCTGAAAAGGGGTTATTTTACATACCCCTCCTTCCTCTAATTGCAATAAAAGTAACTTAATTGACTTTACTGTTTAACTTCTCTGTTTTGGATTCGAAATTCACAAAAAAATATACAAAATTGTATACATACATACATCCACATTCATGCATCCAAATAATAATTATAATATCAACCCTTAGCAATCGCAAACCTTGATCTAGTTTATTAAGGAACTTATATGATAGACTATAGAAAAGTAGTGAAAAATGGTGAATATGTTCACAAGGTTTGTTATATTTGATGGGAATTTGGATGGCAGTGAATACAGGATAAAACCTCAGCAGATGCGTGATTATTCTGTAATGATCTCAGAATGTAGGACCCAGAATTCGAGGCGAGACAGGCAGTGGGAAAGAATACAGGTCAGAGACTGGATATGGAGCTTAACACGACTTGGAGCAAAGTCACTGACCTGATTCAAAGTTCAGTCCGTTCGCGAAGCTTTGACCGCTGTTGCGGCGGGCGACGCCCCCAGAGTTCCTAGAGAGCGAGCAGCAGACGCCGAGCAGCAACAGAGTCCAGAAGGGAAATCCAAGGCCAAAGGACAAAGGACAAACAGAGCAGACAGGGGCAAGGCAAAAACTCGAAATCCTCAGGGCAGAAACTGGTCAATATCAGGAAAACAGGCAGACTACAGATTGCTAGGGAACATATCATAAAAACACAAGAATAACCTGGCGCTGATGGGAGGCAAACAAACAACTTAAATAGTAGAGGAACCAGGTGAAAATGATCGTCGATAATCAGCCGCAGAACCAATTAGACAGGGAGCAAGGAGCAAAGGAAAAAACCAAACCATCAGCGCCAAGATCATGACATATTCAGAGCTAGGATGGGTAATCATTTCTCAAAGAGGCCACATTAAAGTCCAGATATTATACTGGACTATATATAACATAGTATAATAGAACACAGATACTTTCTGTGCTAAAAAGTCAGTTTAAGTTTCAGTTGGTAGACAGACTTAGAAGTATAAGCGAAAGGCTGCAAAGTGTTTACTGAATAAAGTTGAATTGAACGCAACCCAAACTTGTTAAATGTTTTATTTTTAACGATAGTGAAATCAGCAAATCATGTTGCTTCTCCTTCATGATTATTCACTACTTTGTGTCGGTCTATGACTGTTCATTTCAGAACCAGACAATTTTCATATGGGTGGCCAAAAATGGGGCGGTGCCAGAACCAGTTCAGGGTCAAATCTGGCCTTTACTAACAAAAAACAAAACAAAACATCAGTATTTCTAAAGTAAATCATTAAAGACAGAATAGATATTACTAAAGCCCTCAATAATAAATATGCACACAGATTTACAGATGTAGATTAAAGCTTACAGATGTTCCAATTTCAGAGGATCATCTTACCTACTGGTTTTCTCAACAGCCAGTTAACATTTTATCGCTATTATACTAATATTTAAAATGTAAAGTTTGGACCTTTCCCATTAGATTCATTAGGCTTAGGGTAGCTATGGTGATTAAAACAAGGATCTATGTATCAGGCATTCACTAGCTGTGTCACATCATCCCTACATTTGGTGGGAACTTTTTGGCTGATTCTGGACGTATGGGTCCAGCTGCTTTAGCCTGGATCTCTGCCCCGTCTCTGCTGGAAGCGGTTAAAGGTGTTCCGACACAAGCTCACCGTCTCTGGCTCAGGCCAAGCTCCGCTGCCTCCTGCCATCCAAAACCCCGTCCTAAACAAAAACGCCAGCTTCCCTTTTTATCTCTCCTCTTCCATCATCATTTCCCATCGTGCCCTCTCTCCTCCTCGGCGTCACCTTCTTTCTAACCCAAATCAGTGGTCCCAACTGTTTGGTGGAATGAATCGGACTTCATAGCCGCCTGACAAGCAAATGAATGGCAATTAATTCGACTCCACAGTCATCTGTTGGAAAGGTCGCCACTTCTAATCAGCTATTCATTAGAGAGGTCTGCAAAAATCTACCCATATCACAGCCGCTGCCTTCTCTTGATTTTCTTTTGTTGTCCATTTTCTGGTTCACAGAGGATAATTGATCACTCTCACTGGGAGACGCACGAGTCACTTATTTTGTGTCAAGTGTTTTAGCATTAATGGAAAGCCTGATGGCGCTGGCAGCTGGAAAAGTCCCCGGCTGGTTAGAGATCTTTGTGTCTGGGGCATAGATGCAAGCAGGCCATTGTAAAAGTACACATACCTTTGAATTTAAACCAGATGTTCTTATATAAAGCTATAAATCTTTAAGTTTCATTAAGGTGCATTAGTTATAGACCGATGCAAAGAAGGGGGAAATGGATGGAGAATTGTAAGCTGTTTTTTTTTTTTTTTCTAACAAATTAAATATGAGTAATAATCAGAGAAACAGGAAGAGAAAAAAAGCACTGGTAGGAGAGCCTAACAGCCGATATTAAGAAATGGATGAAGTTCTGTTGCTTAAATTAAACAAAAATTGAACTTTTTGGTAGAAAACTGGGAGCGAACCTGCTGCTCCCTCTGCAAAACACAGTGGTGGCAGCAACATGCTGTGGGGATTCTTTTATCTCAGTCCTGCTACATATTCTTTATTACGTATCCTTTTACTTCCACAATGCAGGTAAAATACTCAGCCTTGTGTTGATTTGTTCGGTATATTACTATAAAGTTTGGCTAAATGTGAGGAAACGGTTTGTGAATACTTTAACATTCATACGCTACATGTTAAAAGCCTTTAAATAGTTTTCCTAGAAATAGCAAAACTCCTGGCTGGCTGGGAAAAGGATTGAAATGGAAATGAAGCTTCCTTTTCAGGTCGGTCTCACTCTCTGAAACCTTTGTTGTGTCCTGTCTCATCAGAACAAGCACACTGAACTCAACCTGAAAGAGTCTCTCTTTGTTGGCGGAGCTCCCGATTACAGCAAGCTAGCGAGAGCCGCTGCGCTCGAGCAGGGATTCAAGGGAACCATCCAAAAGGTAAAAAAAAAAGCTTTACTGTTCTCAGCAGAATGCCAATCCTGCGAATGGCAGTGACTCAGGCCTCTTGAGCCTTGCAATACAGTGGGGCGAGTTTTCAGCTGCCCTAATGTCCGACTACAGACCCTGGTTTTAGTCATTTTCCATCATAGGCTCACGCTGTGATGAGAAGTGGCTCTGCTCATTAGGAATTAACTCACGCTAATTTTAGAACGTGTATTTTGAAGTCCCTCCATTTTGCTGCTCTCAGATCTTTCCCTGACAAATTTCCAGTTTTTTTTCTTCGCTCCCCCCTCTGCTTTCTAGCAAACAACTCATCTCTAAGCGCCTAAAATAACTCAGTAAAAAACAAAGGGGCTGGACGGAAATGTTTGCAAGAACTTGTCAGGAGTTCTTGATGACGACCTCCTCCCCCTCCTTCCTGGTGGTTTTTAGACAATCTGAGGCAAAATGTTGCATTTGTCGTACTTTGCCTCTTGGGGATTGTTAATTATGTGGAAGACAGTATGTATTTGAGTTTTGATGTGCTGTTTAATTGGTGCTTTGCTATGAGAGCTGTTGTCTAAGACACATGGAATCTGCAGCTTTGCTGTAACATTAGATCCTAGGATGTGTTCAGTCATTAAGTTTAATGATCCTTCAACTGAAAACTCAATGGCCTTTAAATGGATTCTTTCCAATCAAAAGCTGAATGAGAAAAATAAGAAAAAATCATTTTGCCCTGGGCCTGTACTGGAAGAAAAATCTGATCACTTTGACTGTGGATTAAGTTAAACTAAACTGATGAAAAAGACAAAAACACAACTCTAAGCCAGCCTAAATAGTTTGATAAACTGAAGTACAATGCAGAAAATTAAGTCTAAGGAAGTAATTATCTTTAAATAAATTCATTTTCCCTTAATTTGAAGAAACAAGTATTTTACCAAAGAAATAACATAACATAAAAAAAACATCCTGATCTTATTTCATTTAATTATTTTATTTTAAAAACAAAAACGCTCATTCTATTGGTAAAATATGTTATTTATCTACTAAAATGAGTTGTAAATTTAGCTGCAGTGTAGTTCATTAGCATATGTTTTCTTTTTTTTTCTTTTGTTAAAACCTGTATCTTTAAAGCAAGCTATATGTGAGCTTAAAGCTTTATATGCTGCGACCTCTCAGATATAAATGTATATGCAGCATATATTCCCCCCCTCTGTCTGCAGTAAACATGTTTTCTCTCTATTTGCTTTTTAACCTCCTGCTAACCCTGCCGTCCCCTGCAGAGAAACGGCCTATATTTGTCCCAGAAATCGCCTACTGCATCTAAATATTTTGAAAGTTTCCAAACTTTGCAAATCCACTGAAGAAGACTGCCTTGTACTCATAAAAGTAAATAAGGCGGTCTTTCTCTGCTGCTATAAATTGGACCAACCTGCAGATTAACATTATAGAACAACAAAGAATTATCAAAGGTCTTCTTTTTTTTTTTACTTGAGTCAGTTATTCTACAGTTTGTAAGAGGGTAAACATTAAAACGTCTGAGCTAAGGAGTGAAGAGTTTGAGGATCAATGTTTGTCCCTTGACACATGTTTGTTTAACTGTCTTTGTTAGGTAGGGTTGGGGAGCATGTCACCTCATATGTTCTGTTCTCCAATCTGGAATAATATCTCATGAATTTCATGTATTTAATGCCTTCAACTTCATAAATCAGATTAAACATCCCCTATCAGTTATAGAGACTAGATGAATCAGGTTAATTTATTTAGCTTGATTCAATTCAGTTTATTTCTATAGCGCCAATTCACAACACATGTCATCTCAAGGCACTTTACAAGTCAACCAGATCATCCAGTCAAATTGATTCAAAATTTTCTATCTAAGGAAAACCAGTTGATTGCATCAACTCATTGACTCTTCAGCAATCCCTCACACTAAGCATGCTTGTAGTGACAGTGGAGAGGAAAAACTCCCTTTTAACAGGAAGAAACCTCCAGCAGAACCAGGCTCAGTGTGAGCGGCCATCTGTTGAGGCCGACTGGGGTTCAAGGAGACAGAAGCAGAAATACAAAAGGCAACTGTAAAAGGCGGCCCCGTCCAGGAAACACACAGCTGCCATGTCAGAGGATGAAGAGAGCACATCCAGGCAGTCACAGTCAGAGAAACAGGACTACACTGGAAAACAGGCCGATCTCCAGCATCTATAAACAAAGGTGTTGATGGAAGCAGCGCAGCTGATCTTTCTCTCCAGGATGGAGTCACAGCCAAACAGGAACAGACCAGAAGAAGCTACTATGAAAAAAGCATAGAGAGCAGAACGTTAAAGATTAAACTAACAGATTCTGCAGATTGGGAGAATAGAGAAAGTATGAAGCAGAATGATGAAATGGAGGTCCCTATGTCCTCCAGACGTCTAAGCCTATAGCAGCATAACTATAGAGATTAGCTCAAAATAACCCGAGCCACTCTAACTATAAGCTTTATCAAAAAGGAAAGTTTTAAGCCTAGTCATTCAGTGGAAGGTAGTTCAAAGAGCAGTGCATGAGAAACAAAAGTAAAGTACATATCGATGGCATAAAGGCAACACAAGAAAAAGTAGAATGAGACTGAATCATTAAAATTAGACAAAAAAAAACAACAAATGATTAAAAAGTTTAAACAGAAGTCTAGTCTGAGACTAAGGCTTGAAGCACAGCTTGGCACCACAAGCATTCAAGATTCAACAAGGGCTTTAGATTTACATCATAAGACATAATTTAGGCTGAAGGTGGGCATGCATGAGATTAGTAAAACTTAGATATATATGGAGGAGCAGACACTAATGTCAGCCATTTAAAAACTTTAGTGAATTAATGTTAAAACTTAGTTTCCCTTTACTTCAGGGTTTCAGTTTCTTTAAATATCTCAAGCCAGTGTTTTAACACAAAGCATGACTTCTGCTCCTTAAAAAAGTGAGTCTCATCCCTAACTTAATCTTTCCTTCCTCCTTCCAGATTATGCTGATGAGCACCCCCATCCTCAGGGAGGAGAACGCCCTGAACTCCAGCAACGTAGCCATGTTCCGTGACCACCCGTGTTTCCGGGAGCCATGTCAGAACGGCGGCCGCTGCAATCCTCAGCTGGGCGGCTACGAGTGCTCTTGCCAAACTGGTTTCTCAGGGGACAGCTGTCAAAACAGTGAGTCTCTTTCATGTGCAACCTTTGCATATTTCTGCAGATTTTTTAAAGAAGACTTTGACAGTAATGACTGGACAGATCTCTAAATCCAGGCATGCCCAAAGTCGGTCCTCGAGGGCCGCTTTCCTGAAGGTTTAAGAGGTCTCCCTGCTTCAGCACAGCTTAGTTTCATTGACAGCTGTTTAACAGGTTTTTGGCCATCGAGGACCGACTTTGGACATGCTTATCGTCATAAAACACACTTCCATCTCTGCACACAGGACTGTTATAGCAGTGGTTCCTAAGCTTTTCTTAGTGAGGCCTGTGGAGTTAAGAAGCTGAGACAGAGGCATTTCTTGAAAGAAAAAAAGTTCTAATTTATTTAACGTCCTCAGACTGAGAGATAGAGCTCTGACTGAGGAGACCTCAGCACATACGTTTATACCTTAAAAAATCCCAACACACACACACACTACCCCGAGGGGAACCAACCCACCCCCAGCATACAGAACTTTCTCACACTTGAACATTTAGAGGAAAAACAACTTGAGTTCATCAGGGCCATTCCCTGTTAGGTTAATATATCTTTCACTGGCTGGATGGATCTTCTCAAAACCACAGTCCTCCCCTTCGTGCCATGAAGAAAGGAAACTGTGTAACTCATTCTTATCATGATCTTCGCTAAGAACAAACATATCTCAACATTTTTTACTCCACAGTCCCGCTTTAATTTTCCAACAAAAATAACCATGTTAAAGTGAAGTAAAGTGCATTTTCAATAACAAGAATAACATTTATAAAGTGTAATTTTTAAAAATGTCATATGTATTTCACTGTGTAACAAAGTTCAAACCCCCCCCCCCCCGGGTGACATGTCCTCCACTTTGGAAACCACTGCTGTAAATGTAGTTCAGTTTTAAAGCAATTATTAAAGTAATTTAAATATCAGACAAAGTTAAATACAAAACCAAGTTTCAAAAAAAAGAAAAAAAGAAAAGCTATGGATTTAAATCCAGGAAAACCTATAATTAACCACCCCTTTGGTTTAGTTTTATTAATCACACTGAGGCCACATTATTGCCAAACTTGTAGAATCACAAAATTATTTGAATAGTACCTGACTGACAGCATGAAGTAGGCAGAAAAAAAAAGTCTACAAGCAAAACTCTGGACTTTAATGTTAAGAAAATACAAGAAGAAATGAAGAGCGAAGTGATGTCTTTATTGGGGGGGTAGAGTTGCAGATGCACAGCAGGTGGAGTAACTTTTTTGTACCCCTCCACCCCAACCACTGCTGAAAATACATCAGGCATAGAAACATCTGCAATGTGATTAAAGTGGAGAATCTGTAAGTGAACATGTGCGTTAAAACGCTATCCTCCATCCCTCCCTGTCCGTCAGACCCCTCTGATCTTTTTCTATAAGCTAATATCAGCATTACTCATGATGTCTCTTTTATGTCGGCGCCGTCGTTCGCTCATATCAAAGTAATAGATCTGGCATGAAAGCGATTAAAAGTGGCAGCTGAATATTCATGAAACGAAGGGGTTGCTCGTCCCTTTCATCATCTTCATGTACGCCTGCGAGTCATACGCCCGCCCTGTCTCCCACACTCAACTCGCTTTTTCTGCCATTAACCTTGCGCCGTGCGGTCGGCCGTCCCCTTCACGTTAATTAAAACGCAGTGCCCCCCCCCCCATCCGTCGCCTGCAGCTCTGATAGCCAATCCTCATTTATTGATTGGTCTGATCTCATCCTCCAAAACGCTTCTCTTTACAGCCATCCACGAGAAGTCCGCCGGAGAGACCGAGGCCATCGCCTTCGACGGGCGGACGTTCATCGAGTATCACAACGCCGTCACCAGGAGGTAAGGAAGAGGAGGAGGGGCGCTCAGCTTCATCTCCAGAGTAACAGCTATTAGCCAAATAACCCCTCTTGTCTATCTATCCATCTCCTCCCATGGTAAGCGTGATGGGATCATCAGCAGTAGGGCTTCAGGGAAAACGAAGAGCCTCTCTAATGGCTCCGTCTCTCTGTCTGTTGCAATGCTGCCTTGCTTTTGACAGGATTTCACTAATTAGCCAGACTCTTAGCAATCATGGCCCTGAGCGCTAAGCTCACTCTGTGGTCCGCTGACGCCGGACAACAAGAACACACAAACTTCCTCTCCTGATTTGAATGTATAAAAGATAATTGTTTTATCTGACGGGTTAAGATTTGTCAGCTGGGATTTTTAACCTAAAGGAGAGAAAAGAGATTAATTTTTGTGACAAAACAACCCAAAGAAACGCTTTTCCCCGCAGGGCTGCAGATGATAAAGTTTTTCCGTTGTGTTTTTCCTTCAACTATTTCATCCATCTGTAAGGCTGGCAAGTGTGTGCCTCCAGGTTTGCATAAACAAAAAGAAAATGTTGAAGTGATGAACCTGAAGAGGCATGAGGCATATGGTCGCGCATCTCACGGCTCTTCACACAAACACTGTGAGGTGTGAAAAGTGGGCCACAGCCTGCAGATCGTCACTCGCTCCCAACCTGCAGCCGCTTCCCAACAACTGCCGGTGTTCTGTCAGTTCAGCATACCCCGTCAGACCAGCATACCCATAGTCAATACGCATGCGCTACACCTCAGATTTGCATCAACTCACACTAAGTGGAAGGATGTCCACTACAGTGGAAAAAATCTAAATCTAGATAAGTCATTTTTTCTTAAAATAAGTGCATTTGTTCTTGAATTGAGGAGGTAAAAGATACATTTTGCCAGTGGAACAAGACAATTTACATTTAAAATAAGAAAACAATTGAATTGTCTTATTTCAAGTGCATGTTATCTATTTATCTTATTTTAAGAGTAAAGATACTCATTCCATTGGCAGATCTCAATTACCTACTCAAATTAAGGGTAAATACACAATTTAAAGGATTTTTACTTATTTCTACATCGTTTTTCCAGTGTAGGCTACTTTATTAATGCGTGATATGATAAAGAAAAAGTTGTAGTTCAAGGTAAACACACAAACTTACCAGAAAAGCATACCGAAAGTCTAGTAGACTAGTTTATTTATGCGTGATGTAATAAACAAAAGATTAACGCCTCACTTTCTGTGTTCGCTACTTCCTACCCTGACGTAGCGGCTAACCTGTCTCATTATGGAGTCAGAAAGGGGTCAAAATGTTTGTAAACTTATAAATCTGAAATGAAACTGAAAAAATAAAAGTTAAAACACAAAAAATATAAGTTTATATTGAATGTCAAATTTTTACCTTATAGTCTGAGAAACTAAAAAAAGCAAACATAAAATAATAATGATTGAATCTAATTTCTTCCCCTAGCTTGAAAAAACTCATAACTCTGCTTAGTATTTTAATTAAACCTTTTCTTTTTTCTTTCTTTTCTTTAATTTTAGATTTGATATTTTCAGATTCAAATCCCCTTTTTTCAGTTTCTATTTTTTTTTCTTCTATTTTTGAGATTCAATATGCTGTTTTCAGTTTAAGGTTTTTGTTTTTTACACTTTCAAATCAGTTTTTTTCACCTTCAGATTTTGACCCCACTCTGATTGGAGTGGGCAGGAAAATGTGATTGACAGCTTACAGCAGCGCTGGAGTGATGTCCTGTTCCATGTTGCATTCGAGGACTGTGGGAACTCCAACTACTTGAGCAAGTAGTTGGAGTTCCCACAGACCTCGAATGCAACATGGAACGGGACATTTGATCACTGCTGCACTTTAGGAATTATACATTTTCATTGCTAAGCTGCTGCTCATTGACTGTCTGAAAGTTGTAAGAAAATATAATTTAATTTTGTAAACACTATGTGTATAGAAAATGACAATAAAAGTGGTATAATGTCTCCAGTGCTGCAGCAAGCTGTCAATCATGTTTCTCAGCCCACTCCTGTCAGAGTGGGGTCAAAATCTAGTAGTAATAAAGTGCAAAAAAAAAAAAAAATCCCGAAACTGAAAAAGCAATTTGAAACAAACAAAAAAAGAAACTGAAAGATATGGATTTGAATCTGAAAATGTAAAACTGCAATAAAGAAAAGAAATAAAAAAGAAAAGGTGTAATGAAAGTACTAAACTAAATTTTGAAAATTTGACTTAAATATCAATTAAGATTTAGAAGTTTTCAAACATTTTGACCCCTTTCTGACTCCATATATGATTGTCGTACTGATCTGCAAATGTAACAGAAGTTGTTTAAATTTCCCTTTCTGCATGCGTATTACTATGGGTATGCTGGTCTGACAGGGTATGCTGGTCTGACAGGGTATGCTGGTCTGACGGGGTATGCTGGTCTGACGGGGTATGCTGGTCTGACAGAACAGCGGGGCGTCTTCTGTCCGACGTTTGTGTCTTAATGTGCAGCTTTTCCTGTTCTGTGTCGGCGTCCCTTTGTTCCTGTCCCCCAGTCTGACGTCCACTTCCTGTCTGTGTCTCATATAAATGTCCTTCACTGTCTCTCCTTTTCACTCAAGCCAACTGACCAATGAGATCCCAGAGTAAGTAGACTCAGAAACTGGCTGTTTCCTCCAGTTTCTAATCAAGCCCAACTAACCCGCAGCAGTCAAATCCATTTTTTCCCAATAGTTAACCCAAGCCACAAGATTAAAGTGCATTCAGCTTTCATGGAGAAATCATCAAGTCCGATTTTACACGCAGGCACCATCCTCATAATTTAATTTGACGCATTTCATTATTTTTGAATACATTTGCAGCCAGTCTTTATTTTTCAGTAAAGAGGGAAGCATGAATGTTTGCATGATAAGCTTTGTGCTCAACCGCAGAAAAATGAATTGCTGTACCGAGATTGTGCAATAATTTATGCATGGTTGTAAGTCGTTCATAAACAGAATGAATTGCGGTGCACTTTACACTGAATAGCATTAGGTGGGAAATGAATGAGACCCTTGAAAGCGGCCATATAAAGTCAGATAGGGAGGCGTGCTAAAGCGGCTCAACTACTTCACATTTTTTCATGTTAAAACCACAAACTGGAAATGTGTTAAAGATGCATTTTATGAAATAGACTAAAACAAGATGGCGCACATATGTGAAGAAAAAGTAAAAAGATACATGTTTTTGTTTTTTTCACAACACAAGTGAGCTTTAGATTGTTACCCCCTCCCCCCTCATGTCAGTACTGTATAGAAACACTTTTAGCAGCTATTAAAGTTTAGATATTTTATGTAGAGATTGAAAAATCAGCTTTATCCCACATTCTCATTTTCTATTTCTTTCTATATTTCTATTTGATCTCAGGTTATATTCCTTCTGGATTGTCCCGTATTGAACTCCATCTTTTTTGTTTTTATAACTCCAGCCTGCTTTCCTGTTTCTGCCAGAAGTATGATGCTGCCACCACCATGTTTAACTGTGTGAACGGGTCATTTAGGGCAATGCTGGCCTTCCAGCTGCTTACATCTTTTACCGGAGAGTTTGATATCCAACGCTAATGATCAGAGCATCTCCACATGATTACTGTGGCTTCATACAATATGCAACATCCTCTGGCTTTTTTCTGGTTCCACCAGCATTAAATTCAGATTCCTGAATTTTTGCAGCTCTTTTATGGTTAGCATGAACCTCTTGGCCGCTTCTCTGATCATCCTTTTGTTAGTTAAAGGGGACGGTCCTGCCTTTGCAGCTCTTCAGCCGTCCCTCATTCCTTACATTTTCTGTGTATATTGTTTTGTAACTGCTTTTAAATACTCACCATAGAGCAGAATACAATATAAAATTCTTTATATTCCCACAGTGGGAAAATCCAGGTGTGTTAGAGGAGAAAAAATAGACAAATGAAGGCAAGCACTCACCTCAGACTATGAAATATTAAAAGGTTAAAAACTAGGCTGAATACAGCAGGACATAAACCATTAGACACTGCAAAGGAAACTAAGATACACACTGCAAAAAATGTAAATCTAAGGAAGTCATTTTTTTCTTGAAATAAGTGCAGTTTTCTTGAATTGAGCAGGTAAGTGAGACACTTTCCCAATGTAACAAGACAGTTTACATTTAAAATAAGAAAAAAACTACCGCAGTCTGTTATTTCAAGTGCGTTATATCTAATTATTTTATTTTACGGTTAAAAATGCTCATTCCATTGGCAGGCCATGTTATTTTCCTACTTAAATTAAGGATAAATACACTTAGTTTAGGACACTTTTACGCATTTGCAGAACATTTTTGCAGTGCATAGCAGTCGACTTATTTAAAAAAAAAAATGCATGCACTGGAAAAACGATCTAAAATAAGTAAAAATTGCTTAGATTAAGTTTATTTACCTGTAATTTGAGTAGGTAAATGAGATAGTTTGCCAGTGGAATGAGTATTTTTAATCTTAAAATAAAACATTTAGATTACATGCACTTGAAATAAGACAATGCAATTGTGTTTTCTTATTTTAAATGTAAATTGTCTTGTTCCATTGGCAAAATGTCTCTTTTACCTCTTTAGTACAAAAACAAATGCACTTATTTTAAGAAATTACTTACCTAGATTTCGATATTTTCCAGTGTGGCTGTAGAAGGCACTCATGCAGCAGGCAAAAAATATCTAGAAATAAGTCAACATTTGTTCAATTAAGTGTATTTACCCTTAATTTGAGCAGGTAAATAAGATGATTTGTCAACGGAATGGGTATTTTTACTCTTAAAATAAGATAACTAGATAATATGCACTTGTAATCAAACAATGCAGTTGATTTTTCTTATTTTAAATGTAAATGATCTTGTTCCATTGGCAAAGTGTCTCATTTAACTTCTCAATTTAAGAACAAATACATATGACTTATATAGATTTCCATTTTTTTCAGTGTAAATCAGCATTTCTACTTCAATAAAAAAAAAACACTCTATTAACTCTATAA